ATTCCTGCTTAAAGAAAGAGCCAGTCTCCCTGTACTGGAGAGCTTATCTTTGAGTTGGCTGCTCTCAGAGAACTCACCTGAGGGCCAGCGCGTTGGCAGCAGGCTAGCGCGCCGTGCTCTTTCACTGTGCCAAACAAAATTAAAAACAGTCCTCTGTACTGCAGTTATGAACGTGCAGGGGTTTGGGGTTTTTTTTGAATGGCTACACTATGGCGTTTAGGAGCAGGTAACAGGATCTTTCCCCATAAATTACCAATTCAAAAGATGTTTGAGTGACTAGGGCCCATGGCTGATTGATGAGCTATGTGAAACGCATCGCTGATGCGTCAAGCGTGGGCTGACATCGCGACTGGAGCTCAGTCACCTGTCAACAAACGCAGCAAAAGAGCAGCTCTCCTAGAGGACTGGAGCACATCACTAAGGGAATCTGAAGAAAATATTGTGCCAGCAGTGTCCTGCTTCATTCACTTATAAGAAGAGAGGTTTTTTTTTTTCAGTGCTAGGGAAACTGGTAATACAGAATATTAGCACAGCTCATATACAAGCTGTACACGCCGAATTGTGTGTTTACCGGCATAACGTTTTGTGATGGCTACAAGGACAGAGAAAGCAAGAAGGAATACTGCTGTCATGAGAGGTTCAGGGATGACAGAAGACGATGCCCTAATTCAGTCTGTTTTGTGTGGTCCCTGTTCGTGGTCTAGAACACGGCAGCATGTGAATGTATGAACAGCTATTTGCATCCGAAACAGATACAAACTATACTTATTTGTGGTTTGGAATTTTTGAGAAGCTTGTATAAGACTCAATACTTGGAATCTACTTTAGAACAATTTAATTTTATGTTTGAGCTGTAAGAAAAACTTTTGAGCAGAGCTCCTATATCCTTCATATGTAAGGTGCCAAATTTGAATCTTTAAGATGTTGCAGTTACTCTCCATGTTTGAAATGCAGTAGGAACTGAGGAAAAAGCTTTATGGTATATAGATAGATTAAGATAGATAGATAAACTATGGAGAGTCTGGATACCTTTGAAGTAGGGCATGCATGTCTCAGTAACACGTGGTCATATCTGAATGCTGCTGAGAACTGGGATTTCTACTCAAAGCAAGTCCCTAAACAGGCTGATTTTTTTCCCATTCATAAACAAAATGGAAATCAGTCAAATAATCATCTACTGAATTCACTTGAGAAAACAATGAATGTTTTCTCTGATGTCTTAAGTTTCAGAGTGGCGAAATCATTGCTGCTATAGCTAGTTTTTCCCGTAACACTCGAGCACTCCCTGAGTGTACCTTCCTATAACCTAGAGCTGTCTGTCAGCAATGAAACAAGCCAGCCAACCAAAGACAGTGGCTAGGTCTCTTCCTTCACTGTCAGTAAACAAAGGACAGGAGCTTGTTTTGGCCCAACGTTTTTTATTGCAGAGCTGAAAAACTCAGTCTTGATAATTTGGAAGTTAATTCATAATGCATCTACGTATAAACCTTTTTTAAAAATTCCTATTTCCAAAATACTACTATAATTACTTCAGTCAACACATTGGACTAACCATTAAGAAATAACTTTGGATTATATCTTTTAATATCATTAAATCCTGCGCTTAGTTCAACTCCAGTCACGGAGCTTTTTGTGCACAGCAGTGTTGGCTCTCCAATTGTGCATGACAGAATTATTCCTATTGTTGGAAGTACTGCTATATTTTGTGGAAAAGCAGAAGTTTTAGCTTCCGTTCAGCTTGACAGAAGCACAAGCAGTCCTAGCAACGTTTCTATCCTAACATAGGAAAGAAAGACCGATTTGTATCGGTAAGTGATAGTGTTGTGCTAATAAGGGCATATAAATCAAATAGTGGTCTTCAGAGGCTCTCCCCCCACTCCACCCCACCGCATTCTGCTTGTTTTTTATTGTTATTTTTTCTTAAAAAGTCTCACTCTAAAAACCACAGGCACTAACTCATCATTAATTCACAAAACATCCACCTAACTATTCACAACCCTTTGAAGTAAAGCAAGAAGAACAAAAAAGAAGGATTATTATTTCAAGCTGTGAGTTTTAGATGACAAGTATATACTTCTTGGAAGTCAGATGAGCAGATTTGCCACAGCTGATTGGTTCAGACTGCTGATTTGGTTCCTGAGAATAGATAGAGCAGCTGAAACCCAGCCTTGGTCTGCTTCTACGTTCCTGAAGGAGAAGGTAGCACCCAAGGAAGGGTTGCCAGTCCTAAGCTGCCAAAGCTAGAGTTACTGTGCCAGAGGGCAGCCCTTCCTCAGGGGTATTAACAGAGAACCGTGAGAATGCTCCTCCATGCAGCCACTTAACATATTTAGCAACATGAATGCTGCTGCGATTGCTTTACTTAAACATTCAGTGTCAGAGCCCAGGCATGTGGCTTTCTGGCCCTAATCTGTCTTTTAAGCAAAGGCCTTTGAGGATGTGAAGGATATGGTCACTGGCTATACAGTCAATAAGTTTGCAAAGGGGCCAATTTACTTTTAATTTCATTTGCCTCTGGAAAGTATGTAAAAGCTTTTACATTCCTTGCTCCACAGAGGTATGAAGGGAAAAGGGCCACATCATAACAAAAAACAGCATGTAATAATCAGGCTGTGTCAGAAAGGAAGACCCATGATGGTCATGTTTTACAAAGACGTAGTAGTAAATACGAGGTTTTAATGTTAACACAGAGCTTTAAGCGTAATAATATAGCAAATATGAAAGAAAAAAGAGAAGAATGTTTAAAATACTAAGATTGTATTTATTCATTAATATAAATTTATTTACTCAGTGCATGTTCACACAACAAACCTGAAGAACCAGGTATAAATCTGGACACAAATTAAACCTGCCTCCAGATGCAATATAAAGGCTGCAAATTAAGTTTTCAACTAAATTAATTTCTGGTATTTTTAATGAGCAAAGGAAGATGGAACAAGTAAAAGCTGTATAAAAGCATGTATCTCACCTGTCTATCAAAAGAAGCAGTTGATACTGCAACTGTCATATGATTTTATTTTCAGGTACCTTATTGCTATATATGTCAAGTGAAGCGAGCAATTCCGAGCAATAGTCTTGTGCCATTCCTGTTACCTGCCAGAGAGAGCTGATGTTGGCCAGTGCTGCAGACAGGCTGCTGCGCGAGATGGGCTTCTGCGTGTACCAGCTATGGCTGTCACTCACCAGGTACGTGCTTTCACAAGGGGAATGTGAGTAAGAACATGTTTGACTGAGTTGTTTATGAACAGATATTTGAATAATCTAAATAAATAGCATAGTCCTGTTGGCTGGCAGTTTACAGTCACAGACCTGAATGAGCAAATTCTGTAAGTTGTGATTTAGCTCCCAGACTGCTTGCGCTCACATAGATAAGATCTGTAGGGTTGTACTACGGCTTTGTCAAGAAAATTGATTCTGTCCTTTTGGACAGAGGTACTGTCCAGTATATGTACTTTTGACATTTCCTGGCTGAAAAAAACCCAATTATTACCTAGGCATGAAGCAGCCATCCGTGATTGACTGTAGAATCGAGAAACACCTATCAGCCGGACAGACTGGTGAACAACTCTGTGCTTAGTCACACTGGAAAACTGCTAATTCAAGTTGCTAGTTTTTTCCTCTGAAGTTAATAAATTACCTGGGTCTGTTATATCGGAGAGTCCTAGACAAAAAAGCAGTCAACAGATTTGCCAGAACTTGGGTGTCAGCTGCAAGGCTAAAGCTCTGTTTTAACTGATTTTCCAGGGGTTATTTCAAACTCCTGGAACAAACTCTAACGGGAAACAAGAACCACCTTAAACCTCATTTTCTTTTCCAAATGCACTTTTCTGACCTTGTTTAGCAAACAGTGCACGTGTAATTATAATGCACATTATATTATTAAGGAATTAGAGGAATGATGAACCGCATTTGACAGAGCGAGACCTCTAGCTGGCTGAAGTATTGGAGAGTGCTCACATACAAGAACTATGATTAACATCAGAATAAATACATTTATTGCATTAGTGAAGTTAGTAGTTTAGAGCAGTAGTGTAGAGTGGCTTGCATTACGCTGCTGAGAAAATTAAATAACTATTACTTTTGGATAACATGGTTTAGATTATGCATATTTTTATTGCAATACTTCTATTTTAAGGAAAAGATCAGCTGCACTTCTTGTATAGATGTTCTAAAAAATTTCTACCTGGGGAAAGAATACTGCCTGTAAAGCAAAAATAGCATGAAACATAATCTGAAGAATACAGCAAAAAACACTTGTAAAAAATTCACACTAAGTCAATAATTCTTATGATTTCACAGTTCGTTAATACACAGTGTTTTCTTTGCATACAGTAAGGATTAAGTGTTTTCTTTTCACTTTTTGAGTGTGTTAGGCTTCATTCTGAATACACTGTTATTATTATTGCTTCACCAGTAGCAGTGCAATTCTCAGAGGGAACATTTCTAGAGGCAGAGAGGCCCTATAAAGTAATTGTGTTGTCTTTTCTAAATTTCCATACATATACTCTCCAGAGCTATCATTACTGGGAAAACTTAATTATATCAGCAGATTCGCTGACGTACTGCCCACACCTAAACCTGCTCTTCCTAATGCAATTGTAAAAAGTGTATTTTAAATGTTGGCTCTAAAACAGTTAAGAGCTGTACTATGAGTGTGGCTTAGTTTCTTCCCAAATATAACAGTTAAAGCAGTTACAATAAAAAGTGCAGAAAAAAGTATTAAAGTTTTCACAATTTTACAGGTTGAAACTCTGACTATGTAGGCAGGCAGGCAAATACAGATGCTCAACCTTAGAGAAGACCGCTAAATTACTGTATCAGAAACTTGTATTGAAGTGACTTCAAGTACAACTTCAGACCATAAAGTTAAAGACTGCACAAATCCAAAGACAAGTATAAGGCCTTTGCTAAATATTAAAAAGGCAACAAACAGAAGTAGTACTCTTATGCTAAGACTGTTTAGCTGTGGTCCTAAAATGCAGTTGTCCTTTGCCATTTTGTTAAATAAAGAGAGCCTGCCTTTCAATAAGAACATGTCTCCTAAAAATAGACTTTGTCTTCAAACTCTTGTATTTACTCTAACAAAAATTATATACAAGAGCCTGAAAATGCTAAACGTTGCAGATAGCTCTGTCATATGCCATAGCTAATATGGCATTTAGAAAGTAGTAATGTGAAATTGACCCCCACCAAAAACATAGCAGGTTTTAAGGTTTATTTCTGAAATGTTGTTATACACTATATTAAGTACAGATCTTTTTTAAAAAAAGAAACAAATTAATGGAACGGTTTAAGTTTTAATGTAATGACAAAATTATAGATATGGAGATATCTGAGTGTTGTAACAATTCTTTGTTGTCATGCTGCCATCCAGGTAATGGTGTTTCAGTCTTATTTCTGGCCAAGCTGGGACAACTAAAGTTTAAGAGACAAAAAAATAACATTAGGTTGCTAATCTTATTCTTTCAGTTAAACTAATAATAACCAGTTCATAGAGTAAGCTTCTTCTGTCCTATAACATTTGGTTGTGTCTTGCAACCAAAAGCATGGTAGAAATAGAGAAAGTATTTAAGGCATACACTCACAGGAATGGATGAACCTCTTTAATATCATAAAATGTGAATAAATTTAAGTGGTAAGAGTCTAGTACACACAGCCAGTCTCTGAGGAATGAAAAAGTTAATTAAACTGACTGAAGAGCTGTAATCTGTTTTGTCTCTTTCAAGTGCAACAAGAACGAGTTTAGTACTGTAAAACGTAGTTTTGAATAAGAATGAATTTATTCTCATGTTAGCTGGAAGTAAAACCATAGATGGTGACAGGGACCGAAGGACTATTAGTTGCTGACCAAACATGAACAATCTGAATTTTGCATTTGTACTAGAAAGAGGCACAGAGAAGTAATGGCAATGACAACTTCATTAACTGCATTAAAAGACTGATTTTAATAGGTATGGACAACTTTGAACTACCTCTAATTCTTATAAATGGCAAAATTTAGGACAACGGTTTCAAAACCACAGTTGAGCTCTTCTGAGTTACTCTACTGAGTTACTGAGTTATTAAAATGACCTCAAAAGATATGCTATTTGTAGAGAGTGTCAGGAGATACGTTTTTTTTGTTTTCTGTTTTTGTTTGGTTGGTTTTTTAAGGATTTTTGTTAAGGCTATTGAGAACTTATTTACCTGCATTACCTGTGGAACTAACATTTACAATACAGGGCTTCAAAAGTTAGTAAAAGCAATGACTCCAAACCTCCACTTCAATCAAGTTAATACAGATGACACAAATATGTGTTAAACTTTTAAAGCAATTTCAATTAAAAAAAAAAAAAAACTTGGTGAGATGTAAAGGTAAACAACTCAAAATACAGCTATATAAGTAATAAAAATTACAGAGATATTGCTAAAGGTAACCTACTTGTTTTATAAACTGTGTGGCATTAAAGAGTTCACTGCAGCCATAAAGCACGTGTTTTCCTTGTTTACCCTAAGAAAAGACAATGGGAAGAAATCAAGTTTTTAACAGAGTAGCAGAAGTGGCTACATTAGTTTAAAACTAATTGTGTATACACAGGCACACACGCACGCTCTCACTCACACTCTTGATAAAGTCCTACATTGATGGCCAGGAAAAGAATAATAATTTGTCCACCAGCAAAAAAAGCCCTGTAATTAAACTGAAATTGAAAACAAGAGACCCAAAGGCAGAAAAAAATTAAAAAAAAAAAAAAAAAACCCGAGGCATTTTACACATTTACACCCACTAGAATCCTAAGTTCTTTGATGTATATATGAATGGCATGGAGACGGTAACAACTTTATTGGGAAGGTCATCCTCTCTGTTGCCTCCACAAAAAACAGCCAAATCCTTGCCCTCTAAACTAAGTGGACATTGCTGTAAGAATAGTAATGACATATTTACCACTCCTGTTGTGATAGAACCAAAACACCTCCATCTGTAATGCATTTCCATACTAAGGTGAAGTTTAGAAGCAGCATTTTTTTTTTTGTAAAAGGATTTTGAAACACACTGTTACGATTAATTAAGTTAGATATCTAATAACCCTAGTTTGATGGTTTACTGTCAAGCAAGTACTATTAAAAAGGCTGCCAAAGTGCCACTTTAGCATTTTGAAAGTGAACATTAGCACAAATAATACAGTTTCATACTGAGTTGTTTCCCAGTTTTGAGCTATTAATCCCATCGTTCCTCAAAATTCAGGGGATAGTCTCGAGAAATCTGTTTCACTGTTAAATTATTTTGCATTTTTCCATTTTACTTAGCTTTCTGTGATTAGGAAAGGAAAACCCTTCTAGGAGAACTCTATATTTACGACTAATAAATGAGAAATAGTCAGAACTGGCAAGACAAACACAGCCTAGAATAAGCCTATCTGCAAAGACTGTTTTTTCTGATCGGAAGTTAAAACTGTATTTATTAAAGAGAGAAATAGGAACATAAGCCTTCACAGAATGTTTCTGTTTCATAAATACTATCAGTTTTGCTGTTTCAGTAGAAAGTAAGAGAAGAAGATGCTAACAGTCCATAGTTGGTGCTTGCATGCTAACTGGGGAGCTAGGAGTCTTGGTTTAAGTACTCATCTTTTCTTACATTTGAGTGATTTCTGATAATATGCTATTCTTATCACTAAGCAGGGTCTTGAGCTTGGGTTTTCCCACATTTCAGGCTAGTTGGGGTGGAGTTACTTTCTGTTTTAATCCCTACACCTGAAAAGCTCAGTTTTTGATCTAAACTGACATTTTGACAGGTCCTATTTTCAGCAGTGTGACTGAACAGCACTTGTTTCTGCATAGTACCAAATACATTTTTAAAAGACAGAAATAATTGTGAAATGGGACTGTTACCTTCCATGCAGCTCTAAAATACACATTCATGTACACTTGCAGTGTGTCATATATATTCTTTTAAAAGGGTAATTTTAAATAAAAACACTTAATGTTACTTAGAACATTTAAGCAAAGGAAATTATAGCTAAATAATTACTGGAGACAAGTTTAAACCCCTTCACATCTCAGATAAAATAACCTTAAGTACTCTTCAAAGTCCAGTATGTTTTGACTGAAAAATTATGTTGGATCTAAATTTCTTGTGCTAAACTGTGTTGTCTAGCACAGGTAAAGACTGAGACTTATTGTCCTTTCTGTCCTGATGCATAGTAGTAAATTATGAAAGGCAAAATAAGGCAGAATTCTGTTTATTATTTCAATTCAGAAGGGCAACATGTGAGCAAAAATCTTCATTTCCTACTGTTGTTTTCTTAGGTATTTTTTCCACGATCGCGTATACAATAAAGATATTAAGGTTAATTTCACAGAAGCAATCTTCTAAATATGTTACATAAAGTCTACTAAAGCTGGCTGCTATCAGTGTGTTGCCACAATATAACTGCCAAAAGTGTACGTACCTTTATGTAGTCAACAAGATTTTGATATTCAATATAGTTGCCTCCTCCGACTACAAATACTATTGCCTAAAATGCAACACACAGATATTCAGAATATGCAATCAAATCTTAACATTTCAGTAGTAAAATATATACCAAATCATTAAACACACAACAACAATTATCCTAATCAATCATGCTTCTTTCTCAGAAGAACTGGAAACAAAACTACTGGCATCCTACTTGAAATAAGGTAGGAGAAAAACTTTACTGGTATACAAAGTGGCAAGCAGAGAGCTTTTAACATGTCACTTTCTTCTACTAAGAGATTTTGGAAATTTATGCCGTTTCATCATGTTGTTCTTTTTCATGTGGTGATGTCTCCAGTGTCCAAAAGAACCGTTAAAAATATTTCTGTGGATCCTTAAGAATTAATTTGGGAAACAAATAAAATACTTTTATAATTATGTGACTACATTATATGAATTTTATATGGACTTTGTTCCTACTGTCATAGTTGCCATGACCGTCTGTTAGACATATATGACGCCTCATGGTATTTCTTTTCTTCAAGAGGATAATTAAGATATTTTAAGAGAAAGCAAAGACACTGACAAGGCAAACATTTTGCATCTGAAACCTGGTAGTAGATAGGTAAGATTGTTACTATTTCCAAATGTTTATGTTAAAAGTAATAAAAGTTAATGGCATAAAATTTTATTAAATGGAAAGGGAGGAAATGATGACAATTGCACTTTTTTTTTTTCCCTTAAATTACGACGACTGTCTAAAGTACCATCACTTATCAATGATTGACTGCATAAGGACACACAAAGGATGACATTTGGAGAGCATTATAAAAGCCTACTATAACAATGGGAGTTTTAAATTTCTGAGTACCAATTACGGTATTATTAAATTCCTGTAATTGCCTCCAGAAACATTTTTTTAAATTTTTTTTTCCTTCAGGATTAGTTAATGCTTTCAGTCCTTTGAAGATGAAAAAGATTTCTTCAGAGTAAGTGCAAAGTACAACTAATGCTAGATGTAATTAGACTAAGTGGTTTTTGCAAACAGAAACTTCTAATTTTCTTAATCATGATCATTAAAAATGACTGATACTTTAGGGAAAAAAGTTGATTTTTTTTTAAATACATGAACACTGAAAAATAATTTCTACGTGACTTACCTCCTGGAATGGATTTTTGTTTCTTGGAACTGAACTGTAAGAAAAATAAATAAACTACACTTTAACTTGAATCTTACTTGACACTGATTTAAGTACACAAAATAAGTTATCATATACAAATCACATTTATGGAATACTGTATAATGTTAGACAAGGATTTAAAATAGAGTAGTAATTGCCTTTCTGCATTCATCTTAAGTAAATAATTTATTATATAAAATCATTCATTCTACAGGAATGAATACATGAGTAAATAGGAATTTTACTTCTTCAGTTTTAAAGCTGTTATTTGAATCATGAGCTTTATGACAACAGTTCTGTGGGGCTTGAGCACAAATACAATGAAAGATATGTTAGTAAAAAACTCATCAACATTAGTTAAGGTCGTACATAAAAGCACGGGTCGTGACACTCGGGAATCCTACCTCCTGGCACCTTCGCTAGGTGAGCCGGCCAGCCCACGAGGCCTGCCTGCAGACTGACTTACTGCTCTTTCTTTCACACTCTTAAAAAATTACTACAGGCAGCAGCTGCCTGTGCGCTCCACTGTCAGGTTCCATGGCAACAACAGCAGGATTAAAATGATTTATACAGGAAGAGACAAGTTACAGTTTGAGTGGTACAGATGCTTCCTCTCCATTTGATTACACAGTCTAGCTGCCCTCAGGGAGAGGGAGAGGAACCTCGCCTCGTGTACCACCGTGCACCCTTGAGAGGAAAGGAAAAGGAAAAAGACCGCTCTGAAGCAGCAATCTGCTCTCCTTCCTTTTTTGCTCGCAGGCTAACACTACTTGCTGCCTTGTACTGGCCTGCAGCCCCAGGCCAGTTTAGTCTGTCTTAGCTGCCTTGTGCTGGCCTGCAGCCCCAGGCCAGTTTAGTCTGTCTTAGCTCCTAAAACAAAGCACTATATTCCCACTCCAGCTTATCTTTCCTTTTATTCCAAAAAGTTTTTCCAGATACCTGAAGTGACCAATACAAGCTCATGCAACATAGCTCCCAGTGATGGCGAAAAATAGGTTTTAAGAGGCAGCAGCTAGCTTTAAATATGTTGTTCTGAATCTGCTGTGAATGCTACAAACCCCACACATGCAGAACTGCTAGCCTAAGTCTCCCCTTATTTGAATATGATATGACAAATCGACATACGTTTTTGGGTCACCCTTTCAGATGACAAGCCCCGTTTGTGCTTTACATAGCCTCTACATAAGCTATAAAGGTGTTGGTTTGCCAAGACTGAATTAAAGTAATGAAATCCTCGCTCTGTTTAAAAATAATAGGCAGAAATACCAGTAGTCCTTAAAATGGCAGAAGTAGGTGTTAGAAGAAAATGAGTCCTCTTAAGGAACATTTTTTAACACTCTTGCATGAATTATTCTATTGAATATTGATATTTTCAACTAGTAATATTTTGTCAAGTCACTTACTTTTAACCTCTGATAATCTATAAATATTTGTGGTACCAGCTAGATGGGAGAATGAGACAAATGAACGTCTCTATGGCGATACTAGAGTTTTGTTGTCATGCTCCAATTTGATTTAAGGCAATTTGAAATCTTTAAAGTAACCATGCAATAGATGATACATATTAAAGCAGTAAAAGTAAGATGCACATCAATATACAGTCCTCCAAGCATCTTTTCTCTATGTGAAAATTAAATACATCTGACATGCAGACAGTTGCATATCTAGAAAGTGCTCAGTTTAGTGACCATTGTTTTTATGTAACTACATATTAAAACTGCATGGAATGCACTAAAAATAATATTAACTGTAAAAACAAAAAACCAGTAATGACTACTGCATTAGAAGTCTCAAAAGCTGATCCTGGACACTTGATTTTGATAAAGTAATGGTGCGCATCAACCTAGTCTGTTGAAAAACCCAATGGAAAGACACACTTTTTTCTTAGCCCACCAGTATAATTTATAACAGATACATCAAGCGTAGGGTATAATCCCAGAGAAGAGACCTTTGGCAGGTAAGCCTCCATCAATCTGTTCAAACAATCCATATTTTAGCTTTACAGAATGAGGTTTAAATATAAATTGCATTGCATACCATTAACCTAAATGTACTATTAAAACAGATTCCCAACATTTTCTCTAGGACAGGGGTACTGTCTCTGAACTACTATTATGACATCTTGAAAAGTTAATAAGAAAACTAGGCTAATTAATTTTTGCACTTCCAGCATAGGGGCCCTCCAATCAAGACAGGTTAGAAAAGGTACGAGAATATAACTTGAGTTCATTTAAAAAAACAAAACAAAACCCAAACCAAAATTTAAAACCTTCTTTCTGTAATAATTACTACAGCCACAGAGAATGACAGATTCATGAACTGCTGTAGATGCATATCATTACATTGTTTAAACTAACAGAAGGAACACATATAATGGGTAAAAATGCACATTTATGTAAAAAAAGCTGTCTTTAATAAAACAAAATTATTTGTCTCAGATAAAATGCTCTAAAATGCTACAAAAGGAGAATGAAAGAACAAAAGATGCAATTAAAATTAAACAACATACTGTCAATTTTTTCTTTAATACTTTCAAAATCTGCTTAATTTTGGAAGTTATAAAGGCTGCAGTAATACTTTCAAATAAGACAGTCTATGGAATTTGTTTTTCATTACCACTTTTGCTATTGTAAATACACAATATGCAAATATTGTAACTATTAGTCCAATAATAAACTTCTGCAATTAAATGAACTGATTATTCTCCTACAGCTCAGATGGAAATTATTAGAAAGGTTCACCTTTTGTAGAGGTGAGCTTATCAGCCACGGGTATTATTCACAGAAGTAAAAGTTATAATAAATAAATAAGCCCACTACAAATTCATAAACTTATTTTTCTCTCTTTTTAGTAGCAACGTAAATTACATCCCCTTCTCCTTTCATATGTACATGAATATAAAATGTGCATCTGTCTATACAAGAGCAAACAAACTCAATTTTTAATCAGTTTTCAGCAAGTTACTAACAAATTACTAAAAAAAGAATGCATTCACATTAAAATTTTAACTGAAAAGTGAAGGAAGAATTATGTTGCACTATCAAATGACTTCAGTTTAATACTGAATGCACAAAGTTTCAAAAAAACCAATCAGTATTACTGTAAAGACTTCTAATATTTATTATTGCTAATACAATAGCAATATTGTACATAGTACAATATAGTACATATTCCTGTGTCTCCACAGACGTAGATTTTAGCAGTATGTTCAGTCATTGGAACAAAAGTTTTTGTGTGATATTACAAAAACGTATCTCGCTGATCCTGGCTCTAACTGTAAATATCTTCAACATCAACTGCCTTGACTTAGAACTAATACTTAAATACCTTGTGCAGTCAGTAAATAAAATAAAAATGAATTTCTTAAATTATCCATTTCACGTAGCAGAAGGAAACAAGCAAATCTCATAGTAAACTCACCTGTCGCTACCTCGGAGCATCTTAGGGTCAAAATATCTGTAGTCATCTGTCTCCTATTAAAAAGTAGGTTTTTAATCTTAAAGATCATAATCTCAGTTTAAGAATGTTTGCTTATATATTAAGTACAATTCAGACCAATGCAATTTTCCATTTAGAAGTTACACCGTACAAAATTAGTTGTGATGTCCATATATATTTATAATGTTTATACGTAACTGAACCAGTACAGTATAAACAGTAGTTCTTCCACAAAAGTTAGAGCCACGAAGGGTGCTATTGAACTGACTCTGTGTTTCTGGTTCATTTAAAATCCACTATTCTGACATTTCCAAAAAATATATAGGTTGCATAATAAAACCCAGCGGAAAGGCAACAGGCAGAAAAAAAAAATTATTGTGTCACCAGCTTTAGAGGAATATCATGTGGTTAGTTATGAATGTTAAAATTTTCCAGGTTACAGCGATCTCCTATTGATTTAATATTATAAAACAAAACACTTTTATGGCAATGATAGCTAAATATAGCATAGATCAAAATCTGCTACTATTATGAAACTTACCCTTTTCATTTCATGATTTATGACTACTATTAAAACAAAATTAAGTTTGTGAAGAAGTAAGTTCTACAAGAACTGTCTAAATTACACAAAAAATTTTTTCTTCATGCAAAACATTGAGACTTATCCAATATTTTTATTGGCAACAAACAAGATTTTTGCCAGTTATTATAGATGAAAAACAAAGCTTCTTAATAACCGCTTCTGACAGCTAGTTGGCTTTCATCTGTTTCTATACTACATTTTCAGCTGGGTACTGTGAAGTTTACTTTATGGATAAATTGCATGCGGGAGTTAAGTTGACTTCATTTGTGTGCTACATGCAGGATCTTTCTGTTTTGATGGTTCCATATAGCAGAAATAATTCTTCTTAATTTCCAGGATGGTGAAAACAAATTACAGGATGGTATTTTTGCCTGTACGAGTTGTTCTTTCTGTTCCTGCTTATGAAAAACTTTGAAACCACAACTGTGCACTTGTTTGGCCTTCCTAGTAGTTGTCCTTCAGACAAAACAAGCAGCAGAAACCTGAGTAACACGCAGAGTGATTTAAAGACAACTGTATATTAGTTTTGCATAGCATACTATTCTTAATAATTTTAAATTTTTAACTGACAGGAATATTTGTGAATGGCTGTGGCACAACTTTTACCTGTAGTATATTACTTAATGCTAAATATAAAAAGCAACAATATAATTTAGATGTATTTATATTCAATTAGCATGACTTCTGAATAATCCATTTTAATTTTGCATAAAAGTATAAACATTTATCTGTATGTACATTTCATACACTGACCACTGTGGTTAGCTAGTAAGATTCAGTGAATTATAATGGAGATTTTTCTCTGTGTTGTTAAAAAAACAAAAAAACAAAAAACACACACCTTAAGCTCCCTCTGCCATGTCTTTTGCCAGCAGGGCAACGGCTGTCCATTCTGAGTTTGGAAAGGACCTCAAACGTCAGAAGAACAGAGGCCACACGGGTGTAAACTGACACACTGTCCTTATCCAGATACACTTCTGTTGATCCAAAAGCAAGCCTAAACATATTTCACAATGACTCTCTGGCTTTCTTCTATTAGCTGAAAGGGAAAACTTTCCTACAGGTTAAGAGAACTATTCTTTACGGCTCCCCTGAATAGGGCACTTATTTTTGGGTCATGAATTCGAGTATCTGACATGACAGTGAACAATGACACCTCTGTCTGAAGAACTGCCTCAATCTCAGCTTTCAAACGAGAAGGTCAATGTTTTCTCCATATTATCAAAGTGATCTAGGCTGTTCTCTACCCAGTACAATTGACAGTATCAAGTCAACAGAAATAAAGCATATTACTTGCAAACTTTTCAAAAGCAATTCCTAAACTTGTAGGTTGAGGAAGTTAAGTGTTTATCCGATTTTTTTTGGTTTCAGTTTTCACCTACTCTAAGTGACCAGTAGTTTTAATTTCAGTTTTCCATAGTAAGTGTTCTGAGTGACCTCTACTGGTTGACAATATAAAATTAGCTAAAAGGTCTTTTCAAACTTGTGGACGTTTTTCTTTCATACAGGCAGATTTACTAGAATGGTGGGGGTGGGTAGCAGGGGAAGGAGATTATCAGTCTCTTGACAGCGCTGGCCTGCACAGCATATCTTTTCCAAGTCTTGCACATACAGGCAACAACCCCCCCTTAGCCCTGAAAACATCAATTTCTTGGTGTGTTAACTGAAAGCAAATTTTCTGCCTAACAATCTCACATATATTTTTAAGAAGTAAAGTTTAAGAAAAGGCAGGGGATTACCTGCATGTTGATTACTTTCTTGTTTTACTCTTTCTTATCTCCCTATTACTTATGATTAATAACCTATTATTAATACAGGCATACCTACATTTCTGTCATAAGCACTGCAGTAAAGAGTAAAACCTATCATTAAACCTGCTGGACTTGAGTAGCTCAGGAGAGGATGCACAACTGACCAGGGAAATACTAACTGAAGTATAGGCATATCCTTTTAAAGAGGCAAAGATGGATCAGTGGATGCAAATGGTCCAGGTCTGAACAGCCAGAAAGCGTGAGCTAACTAGCAGACATAGTTAAGATCCAGTGTGAAAATTCAGCTAGCCCTGCCAAGTCCATGTGTTCTTTGTACGTCTTTAAAAACATGGTTAAGTAAAACAGTGTAAAAACTTGCTTTTGTAGTGCCAAGAATGTTGTTCAAATGATGAGATCAAAGCAACTTCCCCTTTTCCTTACCCCTTTCTAGACATACTGCTAAGCCAGTGGGATTTTTAATGTCATTAAAACAGGAAGATCAATGAAATGTGGCAGGCATATTAAAGCTTTTCAAGAGACTTTCAAAACATGATTTTTAACAACAAGTTCACGTACAGTATGGTCATATGTAAGAATGCTGAAGAAACTCAGTATATAGTGACAATAAAGCAGGCTTGACTATACAATATGTAGACAAGATTTGGGGCTTTTTTTTTTTGCTGTAAATTCTAGCAACTCTCTTGACCATGCATCTAAAGTTTAAGCTTTTCAAAAGTTTATAACTAACTTAGGCAAATCTGAGTAAATTTTCATAGAAACAAGGAGAAACAAGGGCATTTCTGACACAAAACCAAACCTGCCTGCAAAGTGAAAGACCCAGATAACACTACTTTCCCATAAATAAAGATGCGGAAAACACAGTTTTATGCAATATACTCAGTAACTAACTGCTTGACTTCTGAAATTGCACTCTTGGGGAAAAAAAAAATCATTTTAACACAAAGAAAATATCAGGCCACAAAATTAACTTCGAGAAATTTAAAAGCAACAGGAACTGGGTATACTACAAGAGTATTTAGAAGACAAGAATAGAAAAAGAACTCAAAAACAGTACTTCTGCTCTCACGCCCAGCAACAGAAATGTAATAAGAAAGTGATAAATAGGTCAATGATATACAATAAATTGTCATCATTTAGAAACTCTTTGTATGCTAAAAATTCTGATGCAATACTTACAAAAACGGTTTTATTATTGAGACATAGCATCATTAGATTTAACTGCTATATCAAGTACAAAGAATTGCCATGACTATTCTGTATCACAGCCTGAAGATTTCATTTGTCTCATCTCTTTCCACTTGAAGGCAGTTATACTCACAGGGTTTGACTTCATCTCCATAAGGTTGTCCAATATACGTGTGACTGGTAGATTCTGTGAAACAGAATGTGAAACTAATGGAATACTGAACTGTTTACTAAACATTTTTCACAGGTACACTATAATTTTCGGAATAAGATATTCATAGAACATTTGAAAAGTTACTTTCAACTGTTTTGCTCTCATGTTCTGTAGAAGTTGAACATTTTTATCATCACTCAAATTACTTTCTGTACAGAACAGTTACTACGTTTTTCCCCCATGTTATTTCTCAAAGAACAAATACAAAGCTACTTAAAAAAATTACTGAATCAAAATAAAGCTTCTGCTACAAAGCACAGTATTTTCCTCAGCAGTCCACATTTAATTTTGATCCCCCTTTCTTCCCCCTATTCTCTGTTTAAATAAAAAACCAATTCAAATCGGAAGACTTCTAGAAATTCAAACATGAATAGCTCTCCCAGAAGTGATATGTTGTGCAGCTATATATGCATTGTAACATAGAAACTTCCCAACACTATATGTCTAAGAAGGTTGATTTGGTTTCATGACATGAAGGAAATGTTTTACCAACATGGCTTATTTCATCTAGTGCTTTTCTTCTCCTACGTGTATTTTGTAAAGACTGGCCGAATGCTCATCTAACAGTTTGCAAGCTGAGGAACTTGGGATCCGCAAAGGAGCTATATGGTGCTTTCTAATTCTAGACCCCTGGGTTACAAGATCTTTGGCTTGTAACAGCTTGCTCACTAGCCATTGTTATGGTCAATCATGAAAGACGATCTATTTTAGGAGAGTTTTAAATTCTCATTGTACTATATAGATTGGGCGAAAGAGTGAACAAGAGGACCAACATGTTAGTAATTACAGTAGTTAACTAACTAACCGTACCACTATGCTTAGGAACGACATTTGTTAGCAACAAGTTCTTTACCCCTGAATTCCACAGATGTTCTTTGTATGAAAAATAAACAGAAGTTCCACATGAACTACTAACACCGGCAGAAGATATAACAAACAATAGAAGGCAATGCAGAAACAAGAAATGGTCAAAGCTTCATGTAATGTACACTGCTGTTGAGCATTTTTTCTGTAGGCCAAACTGCTTGAAATTCAGGAAGTGTTTTGAATATTGAATGTCAGGAAGTGAACCAAGTGAAGAGTCTCATGTCCAAATGTATCTATAAAGCTGTTTTCTAATAGCTAGCACAAATACCAGTCCAAACCAGGAAACTCAACTGAGCAACTGCACTTACCTGGAATAACTTAAGAAAGGATTTAACTTACTGTATTGCAAAATAATATGCTTGAACTGTTTTGGCAGAGTATTATTTTTGTAACTAGTTTTATTTCAGTAACAATATAGTATGTCATAATCTAAGAGAACTTACATTTTTTTTATCCAGTTGCAGTTTTTATGGCACAGTACATTCACTGTACTACTGCTTCAGTCTTTTTATTATAGCAAATAGAAAGCCTTCACGGCAAATGTTTCTTCCTCTTTAATAAAGTAAACACATCTAAAGTTCAGGAGGGAGAGTCTATTACATACAGAGTGTTAGCAAAAAGGAAGCAGCATGTTTGACCTACAAAGCTGTGTCCTAGAGCCCCAGCAGATGGCACTATACTAGCAAAGCTGTTTTCCTAGAGTAGGCAGAAGAACAATGTTCCTATTAAAAAAAGAAACATTCATTTCAAGTTTTGGTTGTTCAACTCAAATTGTTGTACCATAAAAAAAACCACACCACACTGCACTTTGGTTTATGTTTTGAATTCCTAATCTACAGAATACTTAGAGGCATTACAAATGCAATGGCATTTGCAGAATGAGAAAATTAGTACTTGTAATGAACAAGCAAAAAGAAACCCCCAACCCCAGGACAAGCGGATTTTTTTGCTTCTTTATATAAACAAGTGTTTGGTTCGAGAGCATTCATTGGCAGGGCACGCTAAACAAAAAGGAGAAATTCTATGGTCAGACAGCAGTGCTCTCCACTGGATGCCTAGAAAAAGCTGGGATGGGCTAATAATACATAAAAACCAATAAAGGCTTATGTGAGAGACAAAAGAAAATAATAAAGAAACGACAGCAGTGCTTGTCAAGCAGGGTGAGGCAACTTCAGACAGACTAAGGTCTACAGAGCAAGCTGCTTTCAGAGCCTAGTTCCAGGAGTGTTTTCTTAGAGAGCCGGAGCAACAGCTTGCTCCTTCTTTACTTTTCTCCCACAGAGAAGCTGATCTGTCCTCCGACCTGAGCACAGCGCACAATTCTGTATTAGTGAAAGCTAAGTTTCAGACTGAAAGAATTCCTACTCCAGAGGTGCAAACAGAGCTATGCTGCCCTGCTCTCCATCTTAGTTCCCACCAATATGCTCCACAGTCATCATGCAATTGTAATTCACGTAAATTCTGCTCAGCTCCAGACCACACTGTCCTTAGTTCTACCAATGGCAACCTCCCATCTGCCACTCACTTTTTATCTTTCTGCCGCAAAGCAGCCACAACCTCCATTACAGTTTCTGTAAATCAGCTTGTTCTTTTAGGATATTTTTAGTCATTTTTTGCATGTAGCTCCAAAACCGAAGAATTTTTGACCCAAAGATATGTACGTCATGCTCCATTTTTAAAGTCAAGCTTGGAGCTACCATGATGCTTGTTCACAACTAAATGGTAGCACTAAATGCCGTTTGTGGGCTCAAAACATGCTGAAACAACCCAAAACCAACGCTGGTATAACAAAAAGGCTTAAACCCCCCAGGCTAAATGCAGAAGAAATAGCTCTGCTGCAAGACAGACAATTGTTCCCTAGAATTGCGCAGGAAGCAGGAACAGAGGAAAAAAAAAAAGGGCTCAAGGGTACACCACCACCCCAGGACTAGGAGCACGGTGAAAGAAACCACATAATTTCTGGTGCTTCCACTGAGAGTGATAATATGACTAACCATCTTTTTCTCAGAAATCCTGAAGTTCAAATATTTCAGAGTTAAGATTGTTAACAATCAATATTCAGTAAATATTTAGCTATTGTCACTTGACAAAAGTATATCTCAGATAAAACAACATGTCCTCTACAGGAAAGCAGGTTTCTGGTAACCAAAATTTCAAATTCAGCTACAAAAATGTTATACAAAGTGCATACAGATGTCTTGAAAGTACCTTGAAATTTGCAAGAATTACGCTCTGAAATATTCTCAAGTTAAGTGAACGTTCACAGGTAGGCCATCTCATAACACACACTGATTTTCAAGCATATTTCAAGATTGTGGTTGCGGTGTTTTACATATGTTGTAAATTGGAAATGCTTGAATTGTAACTGAACACAGAGAATGAACGCCTTCAGCCTTTCTGTCACTCTAGAATAGTCGTACTTGATACGTGCTGTTCTAAGCAGAAACATAGAGGGGTTTTTGTGTTCATAAAGGTATAGTCTATTTTAAGTATTCCCCAGCTGTTCTTTTTATAATGCTGAAATCAGTCTTAATCACCCATATTGGGATCTAATTCCTTACAAATGGAGGTACTCAAAGACAATCTGAACATTATTCATTGCTTGCCTAAAAACTGAAAGCTACAAAGCAACAAATGTATCTACAGCATTTTTTTTACTACTGCACAACTAATTTCATTAAAATTTGTCAGGGACAATGAGAGTCATTTTTCTAAGTGTTCACAATGCTCACTCAATAGTCTAAAATTTTTATTTATTAGTCTTTAAACTTACTTGTTGTTTCAGTACCAAATTCTTCACTCCTTCCATCACAAACTGTGATCCTGTATTCATAACACGTGAAAATAGACTGAAAAAACAAAATGAAGATAACGTGTAAGTTTAAAAAAAAAAAAAAGATAAAAAGATGCTCACTTCATCAACATCCTTTCTTTACTCAATGAAACAATTTTGGAGTTGAGTACAACTTCGAAGGAATCCCGCACACATCCTGTTTTTAATCTAACAGACACTAAAAAAATGGTCTAATGCAATAAAGGAGCGCTTTCAATCCCTGTATCAGTTAAAGTTTGCATAAAATTCAATATTTCTTTTCAAAATCCCATCATCTTTTATGGAAAAAAAACAACAATGCACTCAGGAAGTTATTTTGTTATTCCCAAATGTCAACTAACTATACAGCAATAAGCTAAGTGGTCTACATTCATCTTTATACAAAGGTGATAATTTTTTTTTTTAGTAAACATTTAGTGATTTCATTTAAATAAATTTTATATTTACATATAAAAATACATATTTTGTTAATTTAATTAAAAAATAACATACTTCATATCTGTTGCTTACTGAAACAAATTTAGAGCTGCAGGAAAAAAATAGTTCTCGCACAACACCAGTTACAAATAAAAGACATGCATATAGCTATACCTCTGACTTCCAGTAAGTTAGGTGCTATATTTACATTAAAACTAGCCAAAAGCAGCCAGACACAATTGTTTTGAAATGAAAAAAAATTCAATAAACCGCTGATCTACCATCATGATTTCTCCTCTTTGATGCAAACTCTGAGCAGCCAAAAAAGAGCTAAAATATATATACTGCCCCCTTTCTCAGTTACTGTGAACAATACTTTTCCTATCATGACCCATAACATGCACATGAACAACTCCAAATTTGAACATCCTAATTTCACAGGCAGATTAAACGTGAAGAAATCATAGTAAATATCTTGTATTCCTTGTGCTTCCAGATAACTTTTCAAGAGAAATGCAAATTGAAACAAGTACCTTTCTAATAAGGTTTGAATTTGAAAATCCACATTTTTACATGCATTCTTAGCTTTACGTTTATATCCAACTCCCATTAGAGCTGATGGGATTGAAGCACCTGTCAACTGAAACACTGCTCAGAACTAACAGCTAAACAAACTTCATAACAGCTGTAGCACAGAACTCAACAATAAAATCATTAGATATTTACAAAAGATTGAACATAATAATACAGGACTGCCATGTGGAAACCACCTACTTATAAAGAAATGATTGGAAATAATATGTTTTGTTGTTAAGAGTTAAAGTAGGAAAAATTCAGATTAACTCTTTGCCCCCAACCTACACATACCTAATATAACCTATAATCATAGACTAAATAGACTTTGACTAAAACTGTCATTAAAGGGTTATTTTAAATGACAAGTTACTTAAAATATAATGTTCTTCACCAATAAGATGCACGTTTCACATGACAAAAAAAGTGTACGGGACAGATTCACAAAGGGGCTCAGGCACAGACAACCTTCATCAGCGTCTAGTTTAGGTGTCTAAATCCATACAGTATATTTTAAAACTGCTCAGTTATCTCCCCTCAATGACACATAATCTCCCAGCTCCAAAAAACTGTGCATCCGGGTATACTCAAACTCAGTCTTTGCTTTACACACAGATTTTCAAAGAACTCATGAACTAGCGCTTTCCTCCACCCTTCCTGCCTGATCCAAAAAGATATTCTTATATCTTTGGGGATACGCAGTGGCACTTTTCTTTTATTGAAGTCAGTCAGTACAGGCAAGATTCACCCAGAAAGAACTAAGATATCCTACTTGTCAGATATTTTGAACCCCATAGTTCCCCCTCCCACACACATTTTTACCCTAATCCTTAATTTACAAAGGGAGTCTGTTGTGATGGAACTCATACATTGCTACTCAAGTCACTCAGGCTTTCATGAAATAAACCATCCTCCAAACCAGAGGGCAAGCAAGCAGAATGGGAATACACTAAGATAGCAGTTAGATCCTCACCTATCAGAGGAAGTCTGGAGTTCTAGCCTCTGATCCACTGAACAGGAGTACTCCTTTCAAGTGGATGCCCTAGTAACAGAGATGATCAGTATCTCCAACCTAGCAAACAGTAATTTTTCCAAGTGAGATAGCATCAGTGAACATGATGGACCCATGCTACCCCAAAGCCTCCTTGTGACAGTGCTTCTTCTGAAAGAATGGGGGGAATGAAGATTCAAATCCTCTCAAGAACAGAGTGACCCAAGTCCCATATCCTGTATTCTAGATGGGATATGTGTACCCATGGTGTAGACACAGTCATTATGTTCTCTGGTCTTGTCTTGAAATAAATAAGTATACCTTTCAATATGATGTCAGACACCAAGTCCAGGAGATCCTAAGGGAAAAACTGGGCACTCTTACATCCCAGACTGTCTCTCAGCCCCGGAGGGAGTCAGTTTTGAATGCAGAGGGATGGGTCTCCATTTCTGCCACCAGGCTCAGTACATTAGCTGTTGTAGATCTATCTCCTCCTGATAATGAATTCTTCCCCTGTGGGAGCCTAAACATTTAACATGCAGGTACAGATACCACTGTACTAAGTTACTTTGTAGATTTAGTCACAGATCCTTCTATTTTCCTGAGTGTGAGTCCTGTGCACCGTTATGAAAATGATGTGTGCTTGTAATTTTGTCTTTTAAGTTAAAACTTTTTATAGATGGGGAAATGTTTTATTCTTGACCTTGTGCAGTACGAATCACACTTTCAGTACTTCTAAATAAGGTGACAGAATATGAATGAAAAACATACCCCAAAGGTTTAGGCGTAGTGTTCCCATAGCTGGTTGGAGCTGAAGCCATCTTAGTGAAAGCCCTGTAAAAGCAGGGGTAAAAATCAAACGCTTCATCTCGCTACATATCCTGCTGTAGAATGCTCCACGCTGGTCATTTGAAAATAAAACTACTTCTGCTTCTCAAACTCTTTCAAGTAGTAACTATTTACTACATGCATCACTCTTGTCTAGAGATACAATGGTTAAGAAAGTGAAAGGAACTAGATTTAAAGACTTTATAACATGTAAAACTAAAATAACTGATAGCCATCATGGCCCTTTGGTACAAACCAAAAAACATGGTGTCTGAACTAGCCCAACTTCTTCACCGAATTGCCTTCAGTAAGTTGTTTCTGGTTTGGATCATTAAGTACACTGCTTTACATCATGTTCAACAGAGTTCTGGCGTCATTCGAGTTTAGTTTTAAAATAAGTCTTGCACGTATTACCAAAACAATGACAATAAAATGTTATGCCAGAATGGATATTTAAGGATAATTTACAAGATCTCAGAAGTAACACATAACTCTCTGATATCAGTGCTGAGTTGATAAAACTACCCAATTATATCCTCACCTAGCAGGAAAAAAGACATGACTTACTTCCATTGTTTTACGTAGCTCAAAGGGGCAAGATTACATCCTGCATCCATCAATGCTTTTTTATACTGCTCCAAATCAACCTGAAATGATAAAGTGGAGAATTGCAGCTGGTTTAGACTACCCTCTTTATGTGAAAAGACGGATATCCTTATTTAAATATTAAATAAGCAGTTTAAAGCCATAGCATAAAGAAACTAAAGTTAAAAAGAAATTATTAAACTTAATCCCACTCCCTAACAAGTATGAAAATACAACTTAAAATGCATTTTCCTAGGAGGAGCCCTCATTAAATTGAGCAGTAGTTGCAGAATTAAATCCTGTGCACTTTCACCTTAATGAACAGTCTGTTATATCAGCACCTTTCAAAAACATGACAGAATATGGGTTTTTGTAAAATGTCACAACAGAAACTAACAAAAATGAAGAAGGGTTAGGACAGACTTATAGAGACTATTCAAAGTAAACAGATTAAAATAATAGATTCAAAAAGAATGTTTTTGCTTTGCCTAAACTACCACATTTTTTTCTACCAGTTTGAGTCAGTATAGGAGTTCATGCTAAACTGATTCTGTTGTCTATATTAATTCTGTATTATATAACATTTCAACAGTATAATGAAAAACCTCCTTGAAATTGATCTTCATAAACTCAAGAGAAATATTAAGAAATTTCTTCCTGAATTACCCATATATGCGAACAAGAAGCATTTCCTTTTTGTACCTGCTAGTCAACAGACCAAATTTATACTTTTGAATGTACAAGGAGAAAGTGAAAAGAATCATTTTAGAATTTTGTTATATTTACTTCTATTGAGCAGTGGAGCAGAATAAAAGAAAACATTCCAAGACGTGTCTTGTGGTAACTCTGAACTAAATATTTCAAAGAGGAAAGTCTTCAAAAGATTTCAAAGATTTCTTCATTCTTAGTAGCCTTTCATATCTTCAAAAGCATACCTAAACCTTTGAGAGCAGAGAGATTCCCTCGTAATACTACAACATTTGTTTAAAGTTTTACTATTACCTGAGCATTTTGTACTTTTCTTTAAAGAGAAGCAGAAATATCTACTCAGTGCTGAGATGATACAGAAAAATCCTGCCTGGCAAAATTTGGTGTTGCACGCTGTAAAGAACATACCTCTGAAGGTGCCTGAGCTGAGCTTATGTAATAGATCAGAAATAATCTCATTTTGTCTTCTGGAGTTCCTGCTGCAGTGAACAAAAGAGATTAAAAAAAAAAAAATTGTAACTATGCAACTATGTTAATTACCTTTCAGTAATAATATATATGTACATTCAGACCTTTAGCTATGCTAATAATTATTATACCTTTAAAATGTCTATGGACTTGTTCAGACTAAAAAATGGTAAAGAGACATTCAGCAATTTTATTGCAAAATTGGTTAGACTGGATTATTGTTCCTGAAGGTGTTATTGACACTTGCCTGTTTCGCCTGAAGCATCTCTTTTTCACATAACACACAAAATAACAAGTTTCCTAATGGCATTATGTCTCATTTTATGAGGGGATTGCAAGATCAACGGAAGAGACTGAAGAGAAAGCATACAAGTAAAAGCTACAGCACCTCATTTCTTTAGCTCTACAATTTGTTTATGCAGCTCTGTGGCTGAAGGTACTGAAACCGGCAAAGGCTGCAAAAGCGCCTATGCGAAGCTTTGGTCAGAAAAAACAGTCTAAACTTCCAACCTGTCTTCAGGAAGTATTTCACCTCCTGAATCACCTACCATCATACCATTCCTTGGAGAAAAGCATTGCTATGGGTTTTTGGATACAGTTATCAATGGGAATTAAAACTAATCTTTGCCACATCAAAATGATCACGTGATCATTCCTGTGTTACTTAGATTATAACCAACTGTACCAGATTTTGAACAGCATCTACTAGTTTCTACAAGACCAGAACCACTGTTAGCAAAGTTCATGGTTTCAAAAGTAAGATTTCAGAAGCAAAACTTCTTGAAACAAACTTATAAATTTGCAATTCAATACGTCATTAAAAAAGCCTGATACCTTTAGATATAGTACAGCACTAAAAAAGGCACTTTTTTACACTTGTGGGGCAGAAAAGAGATCATCTTTTCTCCCCACCCCAGCCTTGGAATGCAACAATCATGTTGCCAGCAGGGGATCATCTAACTTAAAATGTAACATTGTTTATAAGCGAGCAAGTGTTTAGTTTGGCAGAAGTTAAATAGTCCCTTCCTTAGTCCATTCACTGTCATAACAAACATTTATGAGTGGGTATAATTTTTGTGGGAAATAAGTTTTATTAACCTTTAACAAATACTAGTATGTCAGAAGAACAAGAACTGGAGAAAATCTGCATTATCAGAACCACAAGCCAGCTTTCAAGGTAGACTTGGATTCAACCTGGGTAAAAAAAGCACTTCAAACAGTCTAAATATACAGTGCAGCTGACCATAATTGGCTTCCAACTAGCCAGCTGATAGCTTTCTTCAGTACTTTGCTGATCACTAAGCTTCAGTTGCAATGAAATCGGTTGGCACCTAGTAGCATTTCCCTGAGTGAGCAGATTTATTGTATCTACAAAACTCCTGGAAGGTTTCTGCTCACAGGAGCGGTAAGTGGTCTCACATATAAGTGGTATTTTGTCTTACCAAAAAATAATAAATTGAAAAAATAAATCTGTGATTACATCTTATACCCTTCACTGAATCTTAGAAAACCCATTTTGCCTGGCAGGAGTATGTTTCTCTGAACAGACTACTGACATAAATCATAGCTGTGATGAATCAAAATACCCAGGTCCACTGGCTCTAAAAATGTTCACTACTTTGTTCTAAAGTACGAGCTTGTGACAGCATGGGTGGTGGGAGTGGGGAGCGGGAAACGTTTTGAGGACGACTTAACTAGAATAGAAACAATTTTATTCTCCATTCACAACCCAGCAGGAAGCCTTTAGGGCTACTGCCTAACTATGCAGTAACTCCAGTTTTATCAGTATTCCAGGATGCAATAATATCCACTGAACTAATGCAGCAGGCAGCTAATTGCCATGAGTGGTAGATTAGCTACCAGATAATAAGAAAAAGGAAATGGGAGACTGAACCTGCTAAGTGCTCAAGATTGTATGCTGCTGTGAAAAGCTCTACAGAAATCATTGTCCTCGAGGCAAGTATCCCACAGATAACACAAACAAGCAGCTCACCACTGAATGTGCTGGAAGACTTTATGTATTATTCCTTCAAAATAAATGTTTTCTGTTGGTATCTCACAATGAAGCACTCAACAGGAAGCTGGCCATTTTTACAAGACAGCATGCCCTTAAACAACCTCTGTGCTTTAACTTAAATCCTTTTATCATGTGAACTTACCTTTATTCTAGGGAAAGCATGTGAAATATTAAATTAGTGCGTTACTGTAAATAGCTCACTGCTTAGCTTATGAAGGGAAACTCAACCTGGAAACATCTAATCTTTCTCTTGTTTGAGAACCAAGCACTTTATTAATAGGAATGCTGATATGATGCATCAAGCTTGGAAAATCATTTGATATATATTGCAATCCAAAAATGCATAGAAAATGTGGGTTCAGAGAAAAAGTAACTGATCCAGCAGGAAATACTTGGAAGCATAGTTACTTCTGTTTTCATATATAAGCATCAGCTGTTTGTGCACACATAATAGATAAAATCAAAATAGTACTTGAACACTTAATTCTGCACATGAAAAAGGAATAAATTGTACTAATGCTAAACAGAAGTAGAGATTCTTATTAGTATTACACATTCATATTAACAACAGGTAGCTGTATTGAATTACTTTGTCTGACTACAGATTTTCTGAAAGATCTCAGACTGGATCTGATCTGAGATTTCTAAAACTTTAGCTAGAACTTCCATCAGTCATGTATTATTGCTTTTACTGCCTCTGACTCCGTAGGCACAGAAAAAAAGAAAAGATTAAAAAAGAAACACTGTAGCACTTATATATGCTGTTTCTATAATAGGAACCATTCTAGAAACTCCAAACATACATTATGTCCAGTACATAGCTACAAGGCTACACCCACAGGCATGCAATAATATATATTTTTTTTTGTTAGAGAGCATACTGGGAAAGGAGCAGAGACCCTGCTCGGTCTCTAAAAGCTCAAGGTTTGCCAATACACTTACTAACTTTGTCCACTGCAGACAGGCCTGTGGTCATAACTTCAGTTTTATAACCTTGTTCTGCAGATTATTTTGTTCAAGCTGACTAGCATCAGAGCATACTGGAAACCATCAGAGGGTTATAACAACTCTGGTTGTGAAAGGCTGCAATGACAGTGATCTGAGGCCACTGCCTCTGTGCTATGGATACTATGAAAAGCTGAGAACCCATTCGGGTCTCAATCTTTTGCCAATATAGAATCTAGGTTTCACGCAGTATGCAAAGCTTTGGGTATGCATAAAACAAGCTGGGATGCTCTGCTCTTAGATGCTGAAAGTAAACAGAAAGGCCACAGCTAGATCACGGCATATAAAATCTCTTGTGGGTCTCTAAGTGAACCAGCCAATTTATGTTTTGCTTCTCTTCTCTCCACCTTCTCCCATCCTTTTCCTCACAAGAGCGAAGCCACCTACGCTTCCACCCACTGGGCTGATCAAATCCTGTGAAATATCCATTTTCACACTATTTGTGAGGTTTGTAAGCTTTATAAAATATGCAGAATTCTAATAGAACAGTATTGTTTAGGCTACACAGTTTCATGCTATCTTAGCATGTACTAGAGAAGCACAAAAAGTTTACATATTTGACCTTCAAAAACAAGGATCTAGGAAAGGATTTTGAGCTGCACAAAATTTGCCAATATTTTGGATGTTACTTGACTTAAACAGTATACTCTACTGCTACTAAAATCTGTAAAAAACTGTTTTCTTTACAAGTCTTGCATAACTTACAATAAACATAAGCTCTTTACCAAAACTGAAATCATAGCAAGTATAGATTTATTGCATCTCTTAAAGTTTACACCAAGTCTGGATTTAAAGTACGTACCATCTGGGTCAGAAATCATGTCCAGGAGAGATTTATCCAGAGTAGATTTGCTCATTATTTTTTCCTCATATTCAAAATACACATCCAGCTTTCGAGTCTGTTTAAGAATTAAGTGTTGGAATTAACATATTTATATTGCAAAAGAGTATTTAGTTTCTCCTTAAAAAGATACATGTTTTACTGATCAAGACTACTTTTAATAATTTTAAAATGTAAATTAACAGGAAAAATTTAAGGCTTGCATTATAATAAGCACTTACTCAGTGCTCTCAGAAAACTGATGCTTAAGTAACTTTCGTATCAAAAGTAAAAACTCACATTAGGCAAGGGAAGACTGACATACAAATATTAAACTGGAACAGGAGCAGTGTTTTCAGCTATGGTGAAATCATAGCTGAAAACTACATGCCATGATATGTACTGCTATGCTGTAATAAGATGTAATAATGTTGAAGCATATATTGAGTCAAATTTATACTGAACCTCAAGTCTCTCAGTCAACAAGGCAATTAGTCACTGGTGATAAACGTAGGAAATTCCTAAAAATATGAAGTCATGATCCCAGAGAACAGTTGGCAGTCTTCCACTTGAATCCAAAGGGCTTGTATTGAAATAACTACAATAGATGAAAGTCTTGCAATAACTCTTTCATGTCAAAGATGGGAGAGTTTAGAATAAGGTTATCTGACTAACTCTGGAAAAGAATCTCTTATTATACAGCGACATGTTTAACAATCACGTGGGCCGAGGTGCACAAGTCCTTTTTTTAAGGAGGATGGTATGTCTATTGCATAGAATTATGAGGTAGAAGCTTTACGGAAGGCATCACTTGATCACGCAACTAATGATTGCACTACAATGCATCTGCATAAAGAGCCAAGCTTTGCACTTCTCAATCATCAAATCTTGATCTTTTAATCTAAACAAACAGAAAAATACATTTCAAAGCTTAAACAAAAACATAAGCTCCAGGACAGATCATTCATTCTGAGGATCTGAACATTAAAACGGAGCATCACAACAAATATTACAACTACTCAGTTTACAAAACCTTATTATCTGGCAACTAGCTAAATCCTTATGTTTGGATGCACTCAGCTACGTACTGGTGCAGAGAACAGACTGGGAGAGTCCGTGTCCATCTCACGGCCTTGGAGGTGTTTCAGCTCCACATTGTGGCCATTGTGAAACTGAACTGATATTGCCAGAGTAAGGCACAAGTCTCTAGGTCTATACTTGGGCTGAGAGAATTAGGAAATTTTGGCTGATGTTGCCATGGCATGCAAACTGCTATGGCACCTTCTAACCCACTGCAGAGGCTGTTTTGATGATAGCAACACCAAATAAGAACTTTAAAAATTTTTCATTTATTTTTGCATCCTACTAAAAAACACCCCTGACATCACAAATAAGAAAATGGCATTTTTAAAAACAGTTTAAAAAAAAATCTGCTTCTCTAGCCTGAAGATATTTCATCTCTGAGTATTAGAAGTTCATCAGAGAAGAGTTAGAGGTGAGAATACAAAATAAGAGAAAAGGTAAGTCCCAAGAGTATTTTAATATTGAAAGGTTTTGGCAACCAGCTTATGCAAGGAACTACTCGCCTGTATATACAACACTTGTAATTCTCATTGGCTATCTATTGAACTCACTTAGAAAAGCAGTTACCCACAGAACAGCAACTTAACAGTCTCTGTGGCAGCTTGTACCTACAGTGATAAAAGACACCTATTTCTGAAGAAAACAGTTACCATTAAATGTGCTAAAACAATGACCACTCACTACTTTTAAGGGACAGAAGGACATCTTCTTTCCCTTTTCACAGCAACTAAGACTACATATGTGTATGAGGTGAGCAAGAAAAGAGCCAGAGCTCTTTTCAAGCTGTATTTACCTAGAGCTCAAATAAGAGGAGATTATTCACAGTCAAATTTTAGTTATTGTGTAATACCTTGGATTAGCAATACCTGATTTAGTCAAAAGGTAAGGTGATTATCAGTGGCTATGTTACACTAGTTTAAAGTCTGAATAGACCTGAACTACCCATCTTTTATCAAGTCCTCACTTTAGATGCCACTTGGTATCTGGCCTATCAGACAAGTCCTGTGACTTCAGTTCTACAGTACCTTGGAGACTGCTTGCATTATAGTTTCCTCAACTCCCTACAGAGAAATAAAACAAGTGCAAACAAACCACTACAATTTTTCTAGTCTTTCACATTCACTTGCTTCCTGTAGTTAACTACACTTCTGTCTCTTCACATGGAACAAATTTCAATGCTTTTAAGTTTAAAATATTTTTTCCAGACAAAAGGCATCTAACAAAGGATTGTCAAGAAATCTGGAAGCTTCATCTTATTAAGATAAATGCATTAGTGTTGAATTTGGCAATACACATATTATGTTAGCTGGTGCTCTGTTTAAGACAAATTTATTCAGATGGGGTGTAATACTGTACGATATAAAAAACACATACTAAATAATTCACTATAATATTTGTTCCATATTTAAGTTTTTATTAACGTGCTATTCTTACAGTTCAAGTATGCAAGATTTTAAATCATAAAAATAGATTTACAGTTGTCAACTTTGAGCACAAACTGCATAAAATTCTTCTCAACCACGTGCAACTTCACAGCTATTTGGCTAAGGCTACCAACCAAAACAGACTAACTACAGCAAAGAAAATTCACTGGTTGAGTATTTTTGCTACGCTTTGAACCTAAACAGAAACCTTAATGGCATGTGTATACTTACACTCTTCAAGAATTTTGGTCAATTACTTTAAGTGTGCACTTGGCACTCTTGGAGAAAAAAAGCCAAACTGAAAATCCTAAAAAACTCTGGTCCTTTACTTCTATCCACAGCAGGGACACCAGAGGTAGCAGCAGTATAAAATTTTCTGCATTCTCTTGTTGATGTGACATAAGTATGATCTAAAGAGATGGATCAATATGGCAAAATGAGTCTGCTTAGCTTCTTCTTCACCAGACAACTGACCAAAATTTCTAGCAAAGGTGCTAATTAGTGCAGTATTTTTCTTACACTGGTTCACTAGAAATTAGATGGACACCAAATTAAATTTCATATAGATTACTGAATAGCCTTAGAAACTACTAGTTACCTTTTGACAGATTTCCCAGATATGCCACATCAATGAGACAGTTACTCCCCGAAAAGCCAACTGTTCTAAGAAGTGTTGATATGAAGCAGATGTTCCATTTAATTTAAGTAATTGCAATTTTGCTCACTCATTGGCAAACTTACAGACAAGCCAGGAAGAAAAGCTGGGGGATAGGAGCTAAACAATCCTGCAGATTCCATAAGAAAGCAAGGAAGAGGTTCTTACTGATCCTGAGCTGGTAAGCAAGGTGAAGCAAAAACAGTAATTAAAAAGAAGTAATAAAAAAAAAAATTCAAGATGCATTTATATTTGCAGTATTCCCTCCCTGCTCTTTATTTCCTAATATAATATCTTATTCTACAGTAACACCATTCAGTAGACCTTTCTGACTGCATATTCATGGACAGGACCTATGTTGCAGTTAAAGCTCCACATTTCCTTCCTTTGACTTGTTTTCGTTTTTAGGTGTTTTGTGGAAGCTTTCAACATAGCATCTTTAGAAAGAGTCTGTTAGTAAACCAAAAAATCTGTTTTAGGGAAACTGACTGAGGCTCTGGGGATTCTGGCAGTCAGATGAGGTGAGAGCAGTGGATGTTATCTATCTTGATTTCAGTAAGGCTTTCAGCGTTGTCTCTCCTAACATCCTCATAGGCAAGCTGATGAAGTAAAGGCTAGATGACCAGACAGTGAGGTGGACTGAAAATTGGCTGAATGGCAGAGCTCAGAGAGTTGTGATCAGTGGCACAAAGTCTAATTGTAGGACAGTAACTAGCAGTGTACCTCAAGGGTCAATAGTGGGTCCAAAACTGTTCAACTTATGGCTGGATGATGGGACAGAGTGCCCTTAGCATGTTTGCTGATGATACAAAACTGGGAGGAGTGGCTGATACATCAGGTGGTACCGTCATTCAGAGGGACCTCAACAGGCTGGAGAAACGGGCAGAGAGGAACCTCATGAAATTCATAAAGAGAAGCTCCTAAAAGGAAGTTCAGAGCCCTGCACCTAGGGAGGAGTAACTCCACACACCAGTACAGGCTGGGGGCTGACCTGCTGGAAAGCAGATCTGCAGAGAAGGACCGAGGGATCCTGGTGGACAAGAAGTTGACCCTGAGCCATCAACGTGCCTTTGTGGCAAAGGCGGCCAGTGGAATTCTGGGCTGCATTCAGAAGACTGTTGAGGGAAATGGTTCTTCCTTTCTACTCAGCACTGCTCAGGCCACACCTGGAGTGCTGTGTCTAGTTCTGGGCTCCCCAATACAAGAAAGACATGGAGCTACTGAAGCAAGTCCAGCAAAGGGCTACTAAGATGATGAAGGAACTGGAGCATCTCTCCTATGAGGAAAGGCTGAGAGAGCTGGGCCTGTTCAGCCTGGAGAAGAGAAGACTGAAGGGAAATCTGATGCATGTGTGTAAGTATCTGAAGGGGGGGGTGCAAAGAGGATGAGGCCAGACTCTTGTTGTGGTGCCCAGTGATAGGACGAGAGGCAACAGGCACAAACTGAAACACAGGAAGTTCTGTCTGAACATAAGGAAAAACTTCTTTACTGTGAGGGTAACTGAGCACTGGAACAGGTTGCCCAGAGAAGCTGAAGAGCTTCCATCTTTGGAGATGTCCATAAGCCATCTGGACATGATCCTGGGCAACTTGCTCTAGGCTTGAGCAGGGGGGTTGGCCTAGACACTCTCTAAAGGTCCCTTCCAACCTGTGACTCTGTAACTCTCCACCCGAGTGCTCTAATCCAAAACAAACACAACATTCCTTCCTTTTTAAGCAGAGAAGCAGGATCCATTTAAATGTGTTGGAGGGTCACTTTGTAAGGTCTTGTAGCAGAGTCACCTATCCTCTTTACAGTAAAAAAGCTTTTCTTTTTAGAGAAAAAATATGCAGAAAAAAAGAAAATAAATTCTCAAAGAAGAAATTACCGGAAGGAATCTTTCAAAGACACTAACAAAAAACGACCCGGCATCAAATAAAACAGCAGAAAATAACAGCTGCCATAGAAGTCAATGGAGTAAGCGAGGCTTGTCAGGAAATTATAGCCTGCTCTCATCAGGAGGAAGAAAAACTTTGGGAGAAGGCTGAAAGAGGCAGATAGATCTAGTTCCTTTTGACTGAGCTGTACAGAATTATCCAAGGAATAACATGAAAGAAAGGCCACTATAACTGAACTCATCAAAACTGTCTCTTATTGGGAACTTACTTAATAATCAGTTCTGAATCACACAAAAATAGCCTGGCTCACTGACAGTGACATATACTTCGCAGCACACGCTTTTTCTGTTCACATGGTAAGACAAAAACGTGACTTGTATTAAAACAGAGTAGATAAAATAGTGGAATTCTGTCACAAAATAAGAAATAGATAATTTGAAAGACTATTGGCAACAGAGGTAAAGGAGTTATTCAAACTATCGGTCCTTGAAATCAAGCCAAGTAATAACTGCAGAACTGGACGTATATGATAAAAAAATTACATAAGGATTAAAACCCCTAAATCTATCAGCAATCTAAGTTTGACAATAATCCACATAAAAATTTGCCACTTAGGTTCATAGGTATAGCATTCTAGCAAGATGTTATCTAATATTCCCCTTAGAAAAGTCTAAGTATATCCCTTTCATATGTCATAATTTAACATAGTCCAGTTATCCTAATATTAATATTAGGCAGGCAAGCAAAGACAAGTGTCACTCAGAATTCTAGAGCAGCTAGAAAGACATCCATCGTTCTATCCTTAGAACGTTTTGGGCACGTTTCTTTTAGTCCACAGCTTCTTCAGAGCAAAGGCAATCAATGCAAAACAAGGATTCATTTGTTCTAAGCACTGGCAATAAATATTTGATGGTTCACTTAGTGAAAAAAGTAACGCATTCTTTCCGTCTTTTCACTGAACACGTCGATATGCCAGAAAACTGCCAGTACCCCTGAGTAGGTGATTAATTTCTGGTTTCCTCTTACTGTGTCTCAGAAAATGATCCAAGACAATGTGCAAACCAGCTTTAAACTGAACACTAAAATATGACCATTAATAAATTAAACTTACTTAGTTGATCTAGAGCAGCTCTCAGATAATTCTTTTCACTGATTCTCATATGCAATGAAGAAAAATGCTTAAAAATTTACTGTAGTAAAAACCGTAATGAATAATGCAAACAATGCATTTTAAAGTATAATTGTGCTTCCAGATTATTTTAAAAGTGAAAATATAGCATCCTGAAGAAGAAAACAGATTTATATGATACCTCACTACCCTCTTACGACCTTGGCACTTGCCCAACATTTTTTTTAATCTTCCTCTTAGCCTAGCCTGGTTTAATTATTTAACTGTATGTAAAACCTACTATCACAGACTCAAGGTGCCATCAGAATTTCTCTGTAAACATTGGCTGAGATATTGTTTCTTTTGGAAATGTTTTTGATGGCTACATTAAGTAACATCTCAGCTTACTTTAGAATTCTACAGCTCAAGTTAGAAAGATACTGTTTGTAATAGGAGGATGAAAACAGGGGAAAATGGATGGGACAAAGCCATTAGAAGAAACTTCTTATTTGTTTAGTGAAAAGGTTTTGGTGAAGGTAAATTCCAATGGGAAAAACATGTGCTTCCACATTAGTATGAGTTTTTAATAGTTTTCTAAATATTTGGAGAGGAAGGAAATGATTCTAAATCAAAAGAAATGATGATACAGAAGCATATATCATCAGCATACTGAAGAAAATGCATGTCTGTTTATTTTGTGATCTTGACAGCTATACAGTAAGAAGATAAGGAGCTTGAGCACTTTGCAGTTCCAGAATTAAGAATCATTTATGGAGGAATCTATCAGCACTCCCTGGGAGCTTTCTGATACGACCCTAAGGTAATTCCTGCCACCTCTCTGTAATAGAAAAGTGTGTCACTAGCACGTAACGGAGAATCAGCATGGGCATGACTCCAGTCCACTGCCAGGAGGACACAGGTGATAAAACTCATGTCATTTCAGTCCACATCCTGCTCTGAAACCTGGCTAGCACATTAGATAAAGTACTACTGGTGTAGGCCTGCCACAGGCCTACATAAAGTGACTTTATACACCAGGCATCAAATAAACCACCACTGTAAATCTCCATTTTTTTGCCATGGTATTAATGTACTGCTTTTAAAAGCTGCCAGATCTGATAATTGGCATGCCTAATACTGCAAAGGCATATAAAATCAGCCCCCACAGTAATAAATCAAGCATATAGGGACACACTTATATCTCCTCCTCAATTTAAAAACTACCAATAAGATTAATTTCTACACTAAAATTCAGAATGAGTGCATTTACAGCAGTGAGTTAAGAAAAAAGTAGCACCTAGAAGTAAAGACAGACTTCACAAATGTTACCAAAGTAGGCTTCAACACACATTGCCTCCTATGACGTTATAAATAGCATTTTCTAACTACTGACTTTCAATGAGACCTGATGCCGAAATCACTTTCAAGAACAGAATTCCAATCTTTCTGCCTCAGGAGAACAGAAATTATAGATGAGCCTTTCAGAAAGATAAATCTTTTAAATTCTCCTACTAGTAACCATAGTCTTTACTTAATACTGAGACGGGCTGCAAATGCTTTGTTACAAAAGCAGCAGGAGGAAGACAAACATCCTTCTGAAGTGCTTTTCATCTAGTACAAATTATGCA